TAGTTTTTATCGACTGTGGTAGAATTACCGAGATAAAATGGTAAAGTTACCGGGGATTGATTACCAATAAAAGTGGTATTCTTACCTGAAAAAATCAGTAAAAATACCGGTTTTCAGGTAAGCTTACCAGTCTGTCTTTGTAACATTATACTAATTATTGATAAAAAAAAATGAGATGGTTAAGTTACCAACGGATCTCGGTAAAAACGGCGGCGGCGGAATAGAAACATCTTTCATATGCGTCATTCATGCGTTAATGAAAAATTGCAATTTATTGCAATTTTATCTCTATAAAATCGCGTTCGATAATATCGCGATTTTGTTGCAATTTATCGCGATTTTTCTCCCGATAATATTGCAATAAATCGCGACGTCGATAAAATCGCGATACACTCTCCAATTAAATCGCAATTTATCGCGATCACTGCTACTTGGGTGTGGATGCGCAATTGAATAATTTTTTTTTATCAAAAATTCAATAAATTTATCCATTTTTTGTACACAAAAAAATCCCCGTGGATTCCCATCACTCCCATGGGGACCCAGGGCAAAAACCCCATGGGAAATATTGATGGGATATCCATGGGGATTTTTCCCATGGGTTCCCATGGGACCTTTTTGACAGGGCGCCCTACCCTCCTTAGGCATTCTTCGCGGTTGCGAGCGTAAGTTCGATGAAAATAAGCGTCTTTTCCCCCTTTGTCTCCTTCTCTCCCTGAATTCCCTTTCATCAGCCCAAAATGAGTGAATCCTCCCCTTGATCCCCGAAAAAGACCCTGAAAACCTCAAAATTCCTGAAGGTTCCCAGTACAAGGTCATGTCTAGATCCCTTATGACGATGGATACTTAGGCCTCATCTATGGCTTCATGAGCAAGTTTTGTCACCCAGGAATTCCTTACTCGATGGTTTGTGCACCACACTCTCAGTGGTAAGCCGATTCATGCATCTCGACACTCAGCCACACCTCTTATGAATTGCGTAGGTATGATGATATACGTACCTATGTGTTCCCATACCCCTAACCCTTTCAGGTCCACCAGAAAGCAATTTTCCTAGGCTCTAAATATACAGTCCACTCAACCTTGTATTGGAAATCAAGCGCCCTAAGATCGATTATTATCGATTCTTTCACCCGCCCAAACATCGTCCAGCCGAGCCAAATTTGCAATACAATGAATTTAGACCCCGCTAAAGTAAGCGGATTAAGCTATAAGTGGCAGCCAGCCTTAGAAATCCCTTTCCTAGCTGTCACTCAATAGTTCTATGTTTCCTGCCCATGTAAATGCAATGCAATGCATGGTCGTTTTAAAACGTTTTAAGTTATGCTTGGCATCTCTGGAGTGAGTTGAATGAATAATAGGTTCCCCACGTCAAGTCCTTTAATTGATTACACCTGGTACACTCTCAGGCTCCGTCCCCTGAACCTTACCCTTCTGCTCTCCATTCCGCAGTATAGTTACCCTCCCTTTATACCTAATTTTTACATTATTTGTCTGAGTGAGGAGACACATGATCAAGGCCATTTTGAACATCAGTTATTGGGTGCCAGTCTCCGTTGGGCCCCCTTCCTCGGTGTCTTGCTGCTTATGAAGCCATTTTCTTTCATGAATTGATTTGATTACATTCTTTAGGTAGGTACTGCTCACTGATTTGAGTCCTAATTGCATTTAAACAATCTATTTCCTCCTCATTTATTTAGGTATGCTCAAGTGAGTGAGATAAGACCCCACTGTTTCATCCAGGTAAAAGTGAGGTTACCCAGATACCAATTCCAACGTTGACAACATCGTAGAATTCAATGTTTCCACGTGGACAGCAACGTGTACCGGAACGTGTAATTCTACGTGGGTGTCCATGTACTAAGTACCGTTTCCGAAACGTTCCCGCGTAAACGTGATGTAGCGACAACGTTCACACGAACGTTGCAGTGTCTACGGTGCAGGAACTTCACGGTGACTACATTGCATGAGCGTGTAGCGCAAGGGTTCCATCTTATTCGCATAACATTGTGCGGCACTTATTTTTGGACTTTTCAGGGTTCGTGCGTCTCCCTCCCTCTTAACGTGTTTACGATTCAAAAATTTCGTTAAGGCCTAAATACACACGGCGATTAATCGCCGGCACTTATTTTTGGACTTTTCAGGGTTCGTGCGTCTCCCTCCCTCTTAACGTGTTTACGATTCAAAAATTTCGTTAAGGCCTAAATACACACGGCGATTAATCGCCGTGTGTGTATAGGCCTTTAGCTATCTAGTTATTCGCGATAAATGATGATTTTCTGAAACGAAATACAACCACTCATCACTTCATGGGTACAATTTTCATTGAGGTATACGTACCACAGGGGAGATAAAGCACTTTTCGGTGTTGGAGTAGAACATGAGATCTACAGGTTAAAATTGTAGACAATAAATTGAGACACAGAATTAGGAACGGACTAGTGTAAACAAGATAATTAACGAGCCTTTCGTAAATACGAGGTGATCCAAAAGTCCCTTCCACCCCCTTTAACTTTTTACCGAATTGAGGTAAAGATATGAAACTTGGGTCATGTTCCAGGTTAAAGGGAGCTACTTTTTGGCCCCCCTAAAATTTTCTGGAGGGCCCTCTCGGGGNGGGGGGGGGGGGTAACGGACCTCAAAATTTAATTTTCAAATGGGAAGACCCTCTTTGTGATAGCTCGTTCGAAATAACTTAAAAAAATAAAACTTTTCGCGCAAACCCGATGTCAATATCTCAAACCGTTTCAAAATGGCGGCCGGTTAAAGTTCAAAATGGCCGAAAATTCACACCGGTTATTTGTCGATGGATTTGCGCGAAAATCGGTAGCTATATGGAGGTATTTTGACACTAGAAAAACGAATTTGACGTTAGACTTTCAAAATGGCCGCCGGTTAAAGTTCAAAATGGCCGAAAATTGCCACCTTGGTTTTTTTCTAATGGATTTGCCAAAAACTTGGAATTTAAGGGTATTTTGGCATAAGATTAACACATTTTATCCTAGATTTCTAAAAAAAAAAATTTCGGTCTTTTTGAACTTTTTGAACTTTAACCGGCGGCCATTTTGAAAATTCCAGGATTTTGAAAAGCTGACTTCAAATTCGTTTTTCTCGTGTCAAAATACCTGTAAATTCCGAATTTCGCGCTAATTCATCGACTAATAACCGGTGTGAATTTTCGGCCATTTTTAACTTTAACCGGCCGCCATTTTGGAACGATTTGAGATATTGACTTCGGGTTTGCGCGAAAAGTTTTCTTTTTTTATGCTCTTTCGAACGAGCTATCACAAAGGGGGTCTTCCCATTCGAAAATTAAAAGTTTGAGTCCGCCCCCTCCCGGGGGGAAGGGGCACCCCCGAAAATTTTAGGGGGGCCAAAAAGTAGCTCCTTTTGACCTAGGAACATCCCTCAAGTTTCAATCTTTACCTCAATTCGGCAAAAAGTTAGAAGGGGTGGAAGGGACTTTTGGATCACCCTGTATAAAAAACACTGAGGAATGCATCACTTCACGCACAACATTAAACTGCGGAAACCATTTGGTACGCCGAGATCAAGATAACGAGGGTGGATACACTCGAACAGTCACAACCTCCGCTGACTAGGCTGATTCCAAGAACCTGGCTGGTGCCGACGTGGGCTGCGCATGCGCATTGGACTTTTTGAGCAATCAGCGCCGCGAAATGTAGCGCCACCTAGCGGGCTCTCATCGCATGTGCCGCCTTTTCTAGTGTGACGTGTTTTGGACTACCTACAGAGAGTTCTACGTCCCGGCAACGTTGAGAGCGATGTGTCTTCGTACCATACATTGGACAACGTGGATTTCAACGTAGAAATCGGAACGTTTCCAGTGTTTCCCAGTGTTTTCCCTTGTACATTATCAGTCCTTATCACTTCAGTCATCATGAGCATCCGCAATGATGATAGTGACTCAGATTTAGATCTCAACAACATGTTTGACAATCCGTTGGAAGGAATGCAGTCTGGCAAGCAGCAAGGGAGCATACCTTCGATTCACTTTCCTTTCTCACTTCCCTATTTTCAATTTCCAGCTGTCTAGAAGCCGCAAATCGTTTCACTATCTTTCTAGAAAGTTTATCGAGGGTGAAACTACCAGACCACGTATCTCGTTTGAGGTGTTTGAAAATTTCCGCTCTAATTTTATTTTTTGGATGAAGAAAAAATCAATATAATTTCTTGAAATTGTCACAGAGTTTTCTTCGCGTAGAGAGGAAAAAACGCGGAAGTTTTTAAAAATTGACGTTAAGTAGTTTTCCATAAAAAAAATAAAGTCTACAACGTCGCAGACAGAGATACGTGGTCTGGTAGTTTCACCATCGATATATAAGTTGTACTTTTGTAGAAAACTGATTGATCGAAAGTGCTGGAAACAGAAAAAAACACCTGAATTTTTTGTTAAATATTGACTCTATGCTTTTGAATGATTCGTCTCGCACAATGAGGTCATAAAAGATGAAAAGGTGAAACGGATAGGTGCACTAGTTCATTCGAGGGATTTAGGTACTTATGAAGCATAAAATCGGTTTTTCGATTTTTTTTTCATTTTCTAATTGTTAAGGGATTCATTTTTTCTTTTTTTTTGAAACCCTAGAGTAAGTTTTTGGACATATTTGATATGTTGGTGAACCCTGAGAATTTAAGAGAGCTCTTTGCTTATCTCATAATTAGATTTATCAACCTTCTTGGTTGTGGTGTGAAAGGGAATGTTTTTGGTTAAGATGTAACACGCCAATTTCCTCGACCGGATTTTTCACCCGAAAATGTTTTTGAGGGTCTTTGGTTGTTAATTGGGAGAAAAGATAAATATTACTTAGGTGATCAGTTTATAATTGCAAGGCAAACAAAGTTGCACAATATTAACGACAATGGAATGCTCTCGATTCCTTTTTACAAATTGCAATCCAATTTATCACTGTCGGATTTCTATTCTTAAAAACCTTGCCATATGGATATGTGCATTTCTAGTATTTTCATTGTCTTAGGTTCGATTACATTTAGATAACTTCAAAGAACACATGCCTCTCATCATGACCTTAGGGAACCCAGGTCTAAAAGATCGTCATTGGGAAATGATATCCGAAATCGTAGGTTTTCCATTGAAACCAGACGCAGACCTCACCTTGGCCAAACTGATTGACTATGGAATCGAAGAGTACATAGCTCGTTTCGAAGTAGTCAGTGATTCGGCAACGAAAGAAAATAACTTAGAAAAGAAATTGAATCAAATGATGGAAGAGTGGAAAGAAATGCAGTTCACTTTAGCATCATATCGGTAGGTTTTTATTTTTTTCAAATTAAATCATTACGCATGGTATACAGGGTGTCCCAAAAGTCCGTAACCTCCCCCCCTCCTGATAACTTTTGAACGGTTAGAGATAGAAAAACGAAACTTTGGGAATGTTTCTATTTTAAAGGAGATCATCTTCAAGGGGGGTTATAAATGTTGTAAGCTAACTTCCCCCCCCATTTTTTCCCCAAATGGTAACCCCTACCTTGTGATACATCATCGGAAAGAACATTAAAAACTAAGAATTTTGGCGCAAACCACGAATCAATATCTTTATTTTTGACCGAGTTATGATAGGTCAAAGGTCAAGTTTGACCTTTTTTCAAAAAATCCTAACTCCAAACTAACTAACCAAAAATCACAGAAATCACTTCAAACTAATTTTAAGGGGGGGGGGTTCGGACCCCCCTTTAAAATTAATTTGAAGTGATTTCTGTGATTTCTATGCTGTAAATTTTCCCATTTTTTTTATTCATTATGATTTGAACCGCAGTTTGGATTTTTTTGAAAAAAGGTCAAACTTGATCTTTGACCTATCATAACTCGGTCAAAAATGAAGATATGCGGTTTGCGCCAAAATTCTTAGTTTTTAATGTTCTTTCCGATGATGTATCACCAATCGATCATGTATCGAAAAAGTGACCCGGCGTCACACAGAAGTCTCGGAATTCGGGACATGGAAAATGCTTAAAAGTGGCGCCAGCTCTCCCACTTACATTACGACTCTATGTACCTACTCTATGTGTATCACAAGGTAGGGGTTACCATTTGAAAAAAAGTTAGGGGGGGGGGGAAGGGGAGGGACAAACATCTGTAACCTTCCTTGCCCAAGTAGCATTTTTCAACGGAAAAATCGCGATTTTATCGCCGATAAAGTCGCGATTATCCTCGATTTTATCGGCGATAAAATCGCTAGGATCATCAACATTTGAGCGATTATCCTCGATCTTTTCGCGATTTTATTGCGATTTTATCGGCCCGAAAAAATTGCGATTTTATCGCGATAAGATCGAGGATGATCGCTCAGATGTTGATGATCCTAGCGATTGATAAAATCGCCAA